CCAAATTGATACTGAAATTCAGTATAAGGGTACCTTGAACATGTGTCTACAGAATAGCAGTCACATATTTGGCATACACCACTTCCAAATGACTCATTTGGGGGACTTTAATGGCTATTTTCAGCAAAAACAGGGCCAAAAGTGCTGTACCCGTTCCATGTTCTATCTAAAGAATGGCCGGTTCCATCCATGGAACATGTGTTCCATTGCGGGTTACCTGAGGTCACATTGCACCTAAGTGGTGCGTAATAACCCACACATTCAATTTTATGTGCCTAAGACCTTCAAAATGTATCAAATCTCATCATTGTTAGTTTTTGCATACCTGTAATAAGATTAGTAAAGCTTTCGAGATCCAAAGTAACGTTACTTGTTGTTGCATCTTTGTTCTCATATAGCTACTATTCAGTCGAACCGCAGACCGCTATGCGCATCGGTTCTGCGCAGCTCTCTCTAAGATCTCGTTTAAATCTCGCGCTTCTTTTCCAAGGTAATGTGATCCGCGAGAATCCGCGAGAGTTTGCTACTGTTTACTGTTTCGCTTGTAACTCCGCTTTGCGTAAGTGTTTCCTTGTCATACGTTAATGTGAGATGTAAGAAGGGCCGGCGTCACGCTCAAGGTCGTAGATGTACATTACCGGTGGTGTTTGTTGGAGAAACGAGGTTTCAAAGTTGACCGTGTATGATGGAGATCATTCCACTCGAGATAGGTACCCTTTAGTTTTTTTGGGGGCAAACCCGTTTGCCCTATTTCATCGCCGATTTGGTGTATTGTTTAATAAAGTATAGACCCTCCTTCATCTATCGTGTGTTGTTTCTTTTGGGATCCTGTAGTTGTTTAAATATAGTAACCGATAGTAAGTTGAGCTCATTCAGTCGAATTCTCAACGATTTTTGTTCGAATCTCAAGCTTTTGCAACTAGTTCTAACCAATACACCTGTAATGTAAGATGTGGCTGAAATATAATTATGTTGGCTTGACACCTGTGTACTTAGTTTTGAAATTGCACAATGTGTATTGCAGCTCGACCTTGAGAAATGGTGTAATTTCTTTACTTTTTTTTGCCTTAAAAAATGTTCAGTTAAAAGTTATATAGAACAAAAATGAAAGTGAAAGAATATCGACCAAATAGTAAGCTTCAAAACGATACCCACTTTACGGATGAAAACAGAAGAGAATGAATTTGGGCATGAACAAATACAACAACAGGTTGATTTTTCATGACCTAATTTTTGAAGGAGAAATCGGACACTATGAGCTGTTACTGTAAATATACAAACATCGGGCAGATGTACTGACATTGGTATAGTTGCACATGAATCCCACTTTCTCTAGCGTCTTCATGATATAAGTCTGACTTGGATTGGGTTTCAGAAAGTCTGTTTGTGATGAAAAAACTTGATTACTTCTTTTTATGAACTTTCGCAAACAGCGGTTGAAAGTTGCAACATTGTTGGCGGCGCAAAAAATAGAACGCCCTGCCTAGGTTCCATGGATCGAACGCAGGAGTTCGAAACCGATTGACTTCAAATTTGACGATTTTTGAATGGTCAGAACCTTGTATTAAATTCCTCTTTTTGTATATAATTGAATGTTATCATATCACTTATTATATTGCATGTGGTAGCCACATTCATACAGTTTCTCATACCAAGAAACAAATTTTATGACATTACGCGAAATGTATCAAAATGTAGCGGAAACTCAGGATGGTGTGTGTCAGTAGCTTACAACTGGGCTAAATTTGACCACCGCGATGTGCGCATCGTCATAGTTTTTTTGGGGGCAAACCCGTTTGCCATAAAATTTGCCAGGGGTCATTGGTATCAATGTAAAGGTAAAGAAGTGGGCTATCACACTGTGGTATTAGCTAACGGGATCCAGTTAAATAGTAAAAAAGACAAGCACAAATATAATGACCAAAAATTGCTAATTTTTGGAAGGCCGTAGCGCTCGCTGTCATTTTGCAATGCACGAAATATCTACATGGTTGTACACGGCAAATCCTGCAGATATGAAAAAGTATAAACATTATGTAGGTCTGAGGTATTTTTGTTACAATATAAGCAGTTGTTTAGACCCATGCAACGGGGTCAAATCGTGACCCGGCAAATGCCGTATCTTAGAGAATAACGCGTTCTACGGTGACCTGCGGTTCGACTGTATTTGAGAACCTTTGCCAGTTTTGCACTGGGGTAAGTTTGGAATAGTCCACTTTTGCGTGGGAGGGAGATGGACTGAAATATGCTGTATTTGCTCCCAAGCAAATGTCGGCCTTTCTAGTTGATATTGAAGTTTCCATTATAGACCTTCTAACCCTGTAACAAAGTGCAATGTAAATATTGTCCACACAGTACCCTGGTGTTGCCAAAGGAATCAACAGTGACATTGATAACCTGATGACAGTCCTGAGTGTGGCTAATGTCTTACCAGAAGGTATTGATAATGTTTGTCTCATATGATTTAGTGGCTTGTGTGGAAGATTAGCTTGCAGTAAGATATTGGTACATGTACTTACCAATGCATTCCTAGGTGGTGTTACAGACTTTCTATGGTTCAGCAAACAAAACCAGCTTCAAAAACTTTGTTTTGAATCCACATCCTGTAGCAGTAGCAAATCTATTGCTATAAATTTAAGTCTCTTTATATTTAAGAACATGTGTAAATGTTTGGCATTCAGTTTTCTTTCATTAGATACTTACCCTTCATGTGTGTCAGTACTTATGACCATGCCCTCCTCAGGCCTGTATGTGGACAAGTTGGTGGACGTTGCAAGGAAGGAACTGTCCTGGGAAGTGGACTATATCAGGGAGGCAGAGATGACCAGAACGTTTGGGTATGGCTGGACTGATTCCTGATCTGTAGCAGTAGCCACCCATTGTCTGAAATTTCCTTCTTGTATAGATAATAGTATGATTTGACTATTAGATCCGTCCTTACGAAAGTTATCTATGTTTGTAAAGTTACAATTTGCACTGAAGCAGGTGCCTATAATCTATGTGTTATGTTATGTGTTATGCTTATTATCTCTTTCCATAGCATAGGTTAGTTAAGGCTGTAACTCATGATATATTTTAAGCTTATCATACATCAGATAGATTTGTACTAGCACTGTGTGGGTAACATTACTGCATAACTGGTTACAGGGAGTTGCTGAAGGATGACCCAATATTCTACGTGCCCGAGGTGATAACAGAGTTGTCCACTCCCCAAGTGCTGACCACTGAGCTGATCGACGGCATGACTCTGGACCAGGCGACGGAGCTGGACGAGGACACCAAGAATGAGGTAAACAAACTCACTTCACATTCCTGGGGGATATTTCCATCCTACTGCCACACAATCATGTGGAAAACACTTTAGAGCTGTATAAGACAGCCTGAATTCACTTGTAATGATTGTCTGCTCTAATTAGTTCTGAATTACTGTTATGGATTTGTTACTTGATGACAGAAAAGTTGTTTCATAGTGTGTTGTGATGATGTTGCTTTGCAATGTTTTTCCCCTAGATCTGTGAAAGAAATGTATGCTAAAGGAAAGCCAGCTAAAAATCAAACTAAACTCCAATCAAGCTCCAAAAAATATAATTGTTCGTGTAATAGCTTTTGCTTGACATGGTGTGTGCCCTTGCCCAACAGATCTGCCTGGCTATCATCAGACTGTGCATGAAGGAGGTGTTTGAGTGGAAGCTGATGCAGACAGACCCCAACTGGTCCAACTTCTTCTACAACCCTGTCCATGGGAAGGTGGGTCAAGAAAAACTACCAATATTAGATAAGATCCATCAGTGTTAAAATGTCACGGCAATTTTCACATGTTTTGGTATCAGGAGACCAATTACCGTGAAGGATCAAAAACCTTAACTGAACCTCAATAAAGTGAAATCATTATGGTTATTTATTATGGGCATTTGTTATGGTTGCCTTACAGATCAACCTCCTTGACTTCGGAGCTACAAGGAAGTTTGAGGACCACTTTGTTGACAAGTACATCAAGGTGAATTTTCTCAACATTACGTGCTTCATCATCTCTGCTAGCATCTTAGATGGCCTTGTGGTTAGTGCTCTTAACTTAGAATCTTAAGTTTTTGAGGTTCTGCACTCAAGTCCCAAGCAGGTCCCTATGTTATGCCTTTGGAAAGGCTCTTTACACCAGTTTCCTCACTCCACTCGGGTGAAAACAAGAAAAATTTAACCCAAAGGTAAAATTGCCATATACATGTACATGCTTTACCCAGTAGTAGTCTAATTTTTACTCACACCTTTATTATGTCCAACCTGTTGTTGACCCAGGTGATCCAAGGTGCAGCCATGGGAGACAGAGAGCAGGTTCTCAACTTCTCCAGGGAGCTGGGCTTCCTGACTGGCTATGAGTCCAAGGTAGGCTCTTAAATGTACTAAACTTCTGCCAAATTGCCAGTGACCAGAGAATTAAATCCACAATCTCATTTTTGTTACCTTTACCAGAATTAAGCTCCTTACAGAATCTCTATTATGCTTGTCTTATATTACTGTAATTCCTGATTTGTTCACTGTACTGATAAGTTCACTGTTTTCACTGTTGCTTCTGTACAGTGAACTTATCATTACAGTTAACAAATAATTCCTGGACTTTCTTTTTCCTACACCTGTCACCACCGTGAACATATAGTTCCGTGAACATGTCCATTTTTCTCAGACCGTGAAATTTTGCTACCGTGAACATAAAGTGAATTACAGTATCTTATGCTGCAAGAACATAAAGCCATAAATTGCAAAGCTCAAGCTACTCCACTACTTAATACCCACAGCAGAGCTGTATCCTTATTAAGAACAGGCCTTTTACACAACTCTTAACCACAAAACACTTCTGTTCTCTTTTCTAGGCCTTTGAGAAAGCCCACGTGGATGCAGTTATGATCCTGGGAGAACCTTTCCAGAAGACGGAACCTTTTGACTTCGGAACCCAGGACACGACCATGCGTATCCACCAGCTGCTGCCTGTGATGTTACGTGACAGACTCACCCCTCCCCCAGAACAAACGTACTCCCTGCACAGGAAGATGGCCGGCGGATTCCTGCTGTGCAGTAAGCTAAAGGCCAAACTGTCCTGCAAGAGTCTCTTTGATGATATTTATGAGGGGTATAAGTTCAGTACCTGAGTTGCTGCTGAATAATGTCCAAGCAGTTGTAATGGTCTGGCTCAGTCTAAGCATCTTTAATATGCATGTTTTGTTTTTTTCAACAGGAGTAGTGTACATTTGTTTTTGCTATTTGCTTTCTCCTATTCAGGTGAAGAGAGAAAAGCCACCACAAAGGGGTACAAAAAGTGTCAAAAACATGCGTAAAACACTGTGCTTTTACTTGAACTCGTTGTAATGAGATTGTTGTAATGAGAGTATTTGTGAGGTAACATTAGAAACACCTTTCCCTCACATTCAAAAAGGCATACAGATTCTTACATTAGTTATAAGGTCTATCATGAGAAAATTAAGCCTACAAGATGAGGAACAAGCTACTATTAGGTAATTCATCTTTATGGGAAAGGAGAGTTGAACCACATCGTCATTGGCAACTTCCAGTCAGGCTATTGTACTGCTATTACAGACTATATGTTCAGCTTTCTATGTTTGCCATTTGGCCATGCTGAAATTCATACGGTAAGCATACCTGGGTGTTACAAGTACCAACCACCTGTACATTGTTGGTAGATATTATGAGAAGTGTGAAGACTATGAAGGCAAATGAGTGGGGAAAATTTAGTTTATTTCTCTGCACATAGCAAAAAATTAAGCTTGTCACACATGCATTTGTATATATTTGTAAATACTTCATAATGCTTCATTAATGCATGTTCATAAGGACTCAAAGGTTATGTATGAAAAACCACACCAGTGGTGATGGTAATAAAGACAAGAAAGGTAGATATTGTGGTTGTCACTAGAGATTTAAGCACATTGCTTCTGCAGCTGCAGTAGAGTCGTGTTGGTTGCTTCAGATGCTCAGGGCATGCACTCGTGTGGTGGAATGAAGACACTGGCATTGGCAATGCCGAGGGTCACGTCATAAAAACTGTGGGAGGAAGAAGACACGTCAAATACTGCCAAAATATCTAGAAGCATTGGGAGGAGTTGGGTTTTGAAAAAAAACATAGCTTGTAGGAATTTGTTAGTGTGAATTTCAAGATAATAAGTCAAAGAAGGCCAGGAAAAGACCTCTCTAAGAAGGCTTGTGCAAATGCTGAATACTCACTCTATATTGTCAAAGCTAGTGGCATTGCGGATGTAGCGGTCATTGACAGGAACACAGCCCGCCAGGGTGAAGACGCCAGCCCAATCAGCTAAAACAAAGTTCGCAGATCATTACAAATCACTACACTAGACCTGTCCATCCCTAGCAGTTACAGACTAAAGATAACACAGATACATGTAGTAACAGTGTGTGATCCTTTTTCTCACACAGGTTTGAAACCCAGATATCATATGTTTGAATCCCTTACTTGAAAGAAGTCTGGGTGATCCTATGTGCTTGACATTGCTGTCACTCTGTGACCAATTATAAAGAAAACTTACCCCCATCCTCAGTCCGTCCTCCCCACAGGGTCACGTCGACCCCCTCGCCCGGCTCGCCCTTGGTCCCCACAGTGAACTCTCCCAACGGACGGGCGAAGTCTGGGATTTCAAACCGGCGGAAGGTGGTGTTCAGCATTGTGGTCTCGCACTGCTTGGTCTTCAGGTTGAAACGGTATTCCTTTCCCTGTGGCAAGCATAGTGATCAGTAATACATTGTCCTGTGTTAAGGTTTGAAACTTGTTAAAGTACATGTAATAGAAAAGCAACGCAGTCATAACCAATGGACCAAAGTCCTTGAATGGACCAAGTCACAATGATGCCAATCTTAAAGCAAATACGGGGTCTAGTTTTTGTGTGTTTTAGGCTCTATTTACCATTTTCTAGGTCTTGCGATTTATGGTTAATTTTCTGTTTTCTTTATTTTTAGAAGTCAAAGAGTAGGAAAAAGTTACACTTCTATGAAGACGTATCTTGGAGTTTTTCAATAAAGTTCCTTGGGTGGACTAAATGCTGCATGACACAGAGACTGAGCTTGGAGATTAAGTGGCTACTACTTACAGGTTGAGTGTTGTGAAGATACAGCACGTCATAGTAGTCCCTCTCCTCCCTGGTTTCTACCTCCTCGATCACGCGGGTCCGCATGTTGCGAGCATCGTAGGACACCTTAGCACGGAGGAAGAACCCCCTTATCGTGTCCAGCTGTCCAAAAGAAATAAATATGGAAATTGTCCGTGAAAATACGAATGTCTGAATCAAACGGAGGCTGTTAAATAGTTTGCTGTAGGGCGTGGTTAGAACATTTTTCGGGTAAACAGTGCTGTTCGGCCACGCCCCCTTTATGTTTCGAACTCTAGCCAAGTTGTAGAGTATATTAGTTTTGGTCTTTGTTCTCAACGACCACCTGAGCTTGCCTGATCTGTTAGGATTGTGCGGTGCCAGGTAATGCAGAACACTGGGGGCACTTAAAATCAAACGGCATTCTACTCGAATATTCTCCTATCTATGCACTGTCGTTTTCAATCAACAAAATTGAATGTGACTCACTCTTCCAATTTTGGACTCAAACGCCTGCGGTGCTTCTGTGGTTAAAAAAGAAATTGTATGGTAAGAAAATGTGCTATCTTAGCATCTACCCAAGTAGTGACAAATTGATTTTACTATTTGGTAGCGTGCCTTGGCTTATTAGACAATAGTTGCGCTGGCGACCAAGTTGAAAGCGTATAACTAAAGCTAGTGGAGGGCAATGGTAGCACAGCGTCGTTGCTCGCTGGGTCGGACTACTGTTGAGAGAAAATCATTAATAAACACAAGCACAGAATAGACACGAGTGCGTGTACCGCATCTTTCTGGAACTTGGCTGTAGACGGCAGCCACCGCAACAAAGAGGAAGAGCAGAAGGGTCTTCATGGTGGAGCTCGTGCCAAACACGTCTTGTCCAAAAGCGCCTGATGTGGGACTGGTGGGCGGTGCCTAGTACACACTGGCTCCAGACGCGTAAACAGGCAAAAACTTCGGACTTGGGACGTCTGATCACAGAGTACAATCACATGGCCATGTCACATGTTCTTTGCTATCAGGCAAATGGATGCTACCGCGTCTTAAATTAACTGAGCTAGGTCAACGTGTTTTCACCCTTCCACTGAGTTCATTTGATGTCGCCGCAATCCCTCAGAGCTACCCTAGCTAGGGACAGGAATGCCATTTTACTGGTTAACGCCGAAACGTTATGTGAAATTTGCAAAATAGATGCTGCCATTCTGTAGCTATTCCCCTGTGTTCAGCAATGAGGCTTATTAGAGAGGCCATGGTCGGTCTTGCGATGGTCGCGTTCTGAAACAATTAGGAAGCGCTATCCCCCACCGCAATGAAGCTGTCCTCTTTGTCAGACAGAGATTTGGCCTCCACATGTTTACTTTCATATATTTCCCGAAGAACGACATGTCCGAGTTTTATTTCAGATTTTTTCTAATCCGTTAGCACGTTAACTTTTAACTGAACTAACCTTTGTTTCACCCCTATGGTCTATCTAAATCTGCGTCTATGATCATGAGCGCACACTCGTTTCCCAAGGTGAAAGGCTCTAGTTTACCCAGAAAGGACCTTGGTCACGAGTCGTTTAGTTGACTCTGCTTATCATTTATAAACAGACGCTTACCCTATAGGTCACACACCTCACGGACAAAGCAGAAAAATAAGTCTTAGGAGACCTTTAATTAGATAAACTGAATTTTATTTGAATATGTATCACTCATATTAGAAAAGCTAAAGTTAACGCTGGGATTCTACCTGCGTTATATTTGCTATCAGTGGAGATGGAAAAAAAGGCATTAACTGGACAAGGAGATGCTTTTACATTTGAAAATGTAGTAAAACTACATTGCAACGGAAATTTACATTCATTCTACACAAATCTATAGGATTTACATCTCGAGCGCAGCATGACATATTTTGTAAATATCAAGTACAAATAAAGTAACGTTATATCATGTAGATATGAGATGGAGCTAGGCCTACATCAGGTAGGCCTTGAGATGGACAGTTTATGGTACTTAATATGGAGGAGGAGGCATGATGCATTCTCTCGGGGGGATGAAGACATCGGGGTTGGAGAGACCCAGGGTGACGTCAAAGAACCTACAGGACACAAACCGTGAGGCATCAGTGGCAAGAAGTCTCCAGTAAAATTCGCTAGCATACCGGTACCTCAAGTTTACACCAATACAATCGAATCACTTTTTCAGATAAATGTGTTTTACGTATTTTCGTGGTACAGATCGGTCAGTGCTGTACTGGTGAAATACTTACTCGGTCGTCACCCTGCCAGTCCTGTTGCTGTAGAACATGTCGTTGACGGGAACACAGCCAGTGTAGGTAAACACACCGACCCAGTCAGTGCCTGGATGGACAGAGGCGTGGCGTCAGTTATTGTGGAATACAGAGAGACGATGGAGAGGTAGCATCAATATAGCCACACCCCCACACACCCCGAAACCTCATGTACAAACCAGGTAAAATCGCCCAGACTAAAATCTCCTGGGCGTACACGCCTGCACAGTTATGAGAATGTCCACTCAGTTATACCATATGCTGTACCAGTGCTATCGGTAAGTGACTTGCCAGTGTGCACATTGTACGACATACAGCATACCGCAAAACGTACAAGGAAAACTATTATGATGAGTCCTTACGTACCTTCCTGTTGGTTCCGTTCCCCCCACATGCTGACCACGACCCCCTCGTGCGGGGCACCCTTGGTACCGACGGTGAAGTCACCAAAGTGGTTGGCGTTCTCTGGGACTTCGAAAGGCCGGAAGGGGTAGTTCAGCTCCCTGGTCTCGCACTGCTTGGTCCTCAGGTTAAAGCGGTACTCTTTACCCTGCAGAGACAAACACGTGTCGTCAAACGTACGTTTGAAATGTGCGACAGTTCATGTACTCATGAAAATTCAAGTTGCATCAGAAAGGAAGTCAACAAGCGCTTACCGGCATGGTGTTGTGCAGGTACAGTATGTCATAGTATTCCTTGTCCGTCCGACTTTCGTCGACCTCCTCGATCCTGCGGATGCGCATGTTGTAGCGGTCGTACGACAGTTTGGCGCGCACGAAGATCCCTCTCTCGAAGTCTTGCTACAAAAGCAGAGGTGAAGAATGGAGACAAGATACGGACCCGTGTCGATTTGATTAAGAAATGCCAAGACATCGTGCACATCGTAATACTGATGTGCCTTCTAATCCGGTGAGCACGCAGAATATTCGTAACACACAGGACGGATAGTACCTAGGAAGAAGCTTTGTTCTGAGGCAAACAGTTATACAGCAACATCGCTTGGTTCTATATAAGTTAAATCATTATGTGATTTGATAGTCGAACTTCCAATGACCTGGTGACCCCCAGTCTGCTGACTACTGTACGGTGCAAGAGGCTAGATGTAGCGTCTGTATGCCAAGCGTTACACAATACTTTTGATGTGAACTACAGGAGCCGTTTAAATCCTACTTTCACGGCCTAGATTCAATTCCAACTTACCACTCCAACGTTAGACTCAAAGACACTGGGCGTCCCTGGGGTTTGAAAAGAATAGAGAACAACAGTGTGTGAAGCTCAAGTGCATTTCGAATATGACTGAGGTTCTGTAACATTATTTCCGTGTACGACAGTGGACTGCTGTAACTGTCGTCCCATATTTATCACGCAACACTGTCACTAATGAAGAAGGGTGGGTACATGGTTTCAAAACAACCATTCAGGGGTTCCTGCAAACGCTGAGTTAATTTTTACATACGTTTTTCCGACTACAACAAATAAGAACATCACAAAACATGCACGGACTCACTGCAGGGTTCAGGCACCTGCCCGTAGGCAGCTGACGCCAGCACAAGGAGAATCAAGACCTTCATTTCCGAGCTCGTCTTCCACGCGTCGAGTTGAACAGCAGCTGGGGTGGGACTGGTGGGCGGTACCGGGCACACGCCAGCTCAACTCAGAGGACAAGTCACGAGGTGTGGGAACTTTGTACTTGGGACTATGAAGACCTCGCGACATGCACTCCTACAATCACGCTGTTCCGTATGTTTAGGTGTGTGCGAGGTTAAGAACGAAGTCCACGCGCGCTTACTAGTCGCTACCAATGAAGACTGGATAAACAATTGATACGCAAACAATACGGTTAAGGTCAACCGTCCGTCCGAATGAGGTGACCTGTCACCGTTTTTTTCGACAGCTGGTAGTGCCATGCAGCTTCGCCAGGGTTCGCTCTTCCTTAGTCCAACTGCCTCACTCTTCTCCATAAGTGTTCCGGGTGTTTTCCGTGCAGAGGATTGACCGTGAGCGGGTCAGTTTCCACGAAGTTAGCATCGACGCGGCCAGATATTCCCCGCACATATTACGGTACGTTATCACCTGTGAGTGTTTCTTCAGAAATGCCTCACATCTGGGCGCCTCTGTGCCTACCCACCCTGTATCGGAGTGACCGCCCACTTTCACCGAATTACCAAACTTCTTCGACACTCTTATATCGCTCTCCCGCCGGCCCAGGATGGCGGAGGTTAGGGACTACCATTTCAGCACCAAGGACATCGGCCGCGGACGCACCGTGGGTGCAAACTCTGTTTAACCCTTGTCCTGATGGCATTTTATACACAGTATTTTCAAAAAATTTGATGTCTTAATCAGGTCATAGGCCCTTGACTTTTTTTACCCTGCGGTGGCGTAGTTACTTCCGCATTCGTTGCGTTTTGCTGCGGTGTGATGCGTTGCACGAGAAATACCCCCCAAATCGTACATATGTAGGGCGCTATAGATGGTACTGTATGTGCAAGTATATATGATGATGATACATATATGAGCTCCGCAGGACAAGGGTAGTCGATGAGTGTTATACACGCACCCGATTGACCTATCATTAAGAAGACCACTTTCATAATGCCTTTATGACATTAAAACATCGTTTTTAATTCATTCACAATCATTTCCATATAATGTCAGAGACACAGACAATAAAGTAGACGATAACATTAATATAGCAAGACGAATGTATGCACCAAAAGCCTAACAAAATGCTTACCATGGTGACGGAAGAAAGAGTAGAGAAATACGTCAACTAAAGTCAATATAAAACGTACAAAAGACAAAACTGTTGCCTAGGGAGCAAACACGTTTACATTGTAGTACAAATACGTTACGCTGCGGTTTACACCAGGAAAGAAAAGGTCGTCGTGGTAAAGATTTTCCAGGGTAGTACAGGAATGCCCCGTTAGAACCCGTTATTCTTCGTCAAGCTTTCATTACTATTCTGTCCTCTAATGATTGCTATTCTGTCCTCTAATGATTGCTATTGTGTCCGTACAGTAGCAGTAACTACATGCATTCTCTCGGTGGGATGAAGATGTTAGGGTCGGAGATGCCACTTGTGACGTCAAAGAACCTGAAAAACATGCAGTCATTTTAGCAACATGTAGTCACAAACTTTAACAACTTTGACTCTTAGACAGCAAACGGGACCTTTTAGTCTCATAGAGGAAGCACTTACACATTGATTAATATAGATCCCCAGTTACAACATGTGCGCATTTTAGCTTTATGATGTCCACTACTTACAATGTCATGACAAGGCCAGTGCGGTTGCTGTAGAATTCCTCTTGGATAGGAATGCAGCCCTCCTTGGTGTAGACTCCGAAATACTTGTCTAGATTGGGGAAACAGTGGTGATGGGACGTTATGCACCGTATGTATGGCGTAGCTAATATCAAAGCAAACTCTTTCTTTTTCTTTTTCAAAGACTGGCTCAAAGAACGGTTCAGTTTGCCGACGCCTGAAACTGAGTAGAGACAGAACTGATACAATCAGAAAACAGCTCACGATAAGTAAATTAAAAAAAAGCCCAACTCGTACGCTTGCTAAGGAGGCTAGAAGTGATAGACTACCTACTTTTGACGAGAGATGATACAACAAAATCTTACCTCCGCTCTCAAATGTGTTTTCCCACAGCTCGGTCAGGACGCCTGCGCCTGGTTCTGCCCCTGTGCCGATGTAACTCTCACCCAGGAAGGTGGAGTTTGGGGGGACTTCGAAGGGACGCCAAGGCTCAGTAAGCTCCCTTTTCTCACACTCCTTTGACTTCAGGTTAAGACGGTACTCGGTGCCCTGTCAAGACATTTGGAATGAAATGAAAAGGTTCAGTAAATTTTAAACACCTAAATCTTAACTACTGATAACCATTTGAATGTGAATGCTAGTCATGCTTCTACTAGAATAGGTGTATTTTTCTCGCTGTGTCAATCTTTATTCTTCCCACTAGTTTTTGGCCAGAAACAACATTTTATATCCAACTTGTTCTGAAAATGTTTGAATGAGTTTTCCAGCAGCTTGTGCTGTAGTCCTACTCACGGGTTCGGTGTTGTGGAGGTACAGCACATCGAAGAACTCCTTGTCCTGGAGAAGGTTCACCTCCTCGATCCTGCGGACACGCCTGTTGGCGGCATCGTAGGAAACCTTCGCACGCTCCGAGAATTTCTTCACTGGGTCGATCTACAGGACAATTTGCGTTGATTTGTTAGCAAAACACGGTAAATGGAAAGTTACTACCATGGCACTATCAAATATCATGGTTAACCCTTTTAACACATCGCATATTGACGTTAGACGTTCGTGCTATTGGCGGTAAACGACAATAATGGGACACTTGATGCAGAAGTATCCAAACATGGTGTTGTGTTTTCATTGTTACATTTTTTTTGTGTGGAAATAAACTTTTATGAACGGCTAAAGTGAATTGTACGGGCACCGCCCCCTGGCGCAGCTCAGCCATGTTTACATACCTGCCAAAGGTCGACGGCTTTAATTAATGACACCGTTATATCAATAGTCACGAGGTAGTATATTCTTAGAGTCATAAATCCACTTGCATTTTGCATTTAGCTTCAGAAGACGACAGACACCAGACTGCATCTAGAATATCATTTTGTAACGTCTCCCGGAATCTGTTAAATCATTTCGATTACACGGGAGCGCAGTAGCTTAATCTCTGTTATCTTTAGTAATAGCCAATCATTGTCTAAAGCAACCTTTGATCCCTTGGAACAATGGAATATGCGCTATCAGAGCCACGTGTTAACTGGTACCGTAGATAAATGCTATCTCTGAAATAGCTGACTCACCCTGGAGATCCTGGCCTCCCAGAGGGGCGGTGGCGCTGCAAAACATTGTCTGTTAGTAACACTAACCTACTGCAAATGCGTAACAGTTACAAGTGTTTATGCAGTATATAAAAAATTATATTTTGCCCTGCTGCTGTCAGTTATTCCCCTACCATGAGAAAAGCTTATGACGATATTGACGTCATGTATCCCCAGGGTATGCACCGATATTACAAACACGGTAAGCTATAAATTTAATGCTGCAAATCACCATGACACATTTCAATGCAGAAGCAGCGAAAGACTTACAGCATGGCTCCAGTACTTGACTGTAGGCCACAGCCAGGCAGACGGTAGCGAAAAGTAGGAGAGTCTTCATGGTGCACGACGGAGACACCTGTTCTGTTCTGTTCTGTCTGTCTAGAAGGTCAGTCGGTAATGAAGAACGTCAGGTCAGTCACGAGGGTTGAACAAATGTAGACCTTGGACTCTGTGTGTCGGATGATCAAGCTACGGTATTTGCGTTGCCATCAGACGTAACCAATTGCAGCACTGAATATGTGATTCCAAAGCCGGGAACGCCCATCGTTTTAATCCATGCAAACACGATAATGTTTCGGTGAATCGACGTATATACCTTTGTTTTGTACCAAGGTTTCTTGCAGTCTATGAAGCGTGATCTGTGCACATACGTCTATAGATTATCCAGCTAAGCCTAAACGACTCAAAACTCAGTAACTTTAACGTGATATTTCTCTGTCACTGACTTCTGACCCCGAACAGAGCCATGTAACCTATGATGCAGTAACGTGAAACGTAGACAGGGGGAGTGATCACACTTTGACATGAGTAGATAGGTCTTTAATGGTATAAAAGATCACGATCGTTTCCTTACAGTGTGTGGAGATAATAAATGCTGAAATAGACAAGGGTGTGACCTAACGTTTTGCACATGCAGGTATAGCTGTAGTACTATGAGTGGTGCTTGACTACACACAACAAAATCCACGTGGACATGATATCGACATGACAAACCTGTGATAAGTAGACTTTGCATGTTACCTGAAATTACTTAGTAGAAGTTAACGCTTACAAGATCAAACACGCGAATTTCTCCAATTAAGTATTATTAGAGACTTGATCTGTTTCGTCGTTCTTATTCATAAGCTTCTGAAAGCATCTATGCACCGTAATTACTACTACTGCGCACCGCGGGTTACTCGCATTCCCTCGGTGGGATGAAGACGTTAGGGTCGGCGATACCACCCGTCACGTCAAAGAAGCTGGAAAAACATAGAAATATATTTTATGTATAATCATAACGTTGACATTTTGACTTCATTTGTGCATAGTTTTCAGGGTGTTAAATCACAACATATTCTGATGTGCACAGCCGATAATTAGGCTTTTTTTCTTTCTTTCTTGTAGTCGTCAATATGATTGACCCTTTCCCCACAAGAGCGAGACGTGCCTTCATTACACGTATCTCCATGTATCCGAAATATAACTTTCTATTTTTCCCCTGTCCGTATTGTATATAAACACCAGTGTTCACGACTTACGTAGAAGTGACGAGGCCAGTGCGCCTGCTGTAGAATTCCTCTTGGATGGGAATGCAGCCCACAACGGTGTAGACACCAAAATACTTATCTGGTCGTGGGAATAAGAAAAACTCAGGTTCAATTTGGTAAGCCGGCAAGACAACAAATACTTCATCTCATTCCAAGACCCAGCTTTGAATGATGGCATCAATGATATATGTATGTATTGGCAGGAGATGAAAGTTACAGAAACTGCGAGAGGATACAAACAAACTCTAACCTCCGCCCTCAAAGCCTCTCTCCCAAAGCTGCGTCTGGACGCCTGCCCCGGGTACCGCGCCGGTCCCGATGTAACTCTCGCCCAGGAAGGTGGAGTTGGGAGGGACTTGGAAGGGACGCCAGGGATCAGAGATCTCCCTCTTATTACACTCCTTAGTCTTCAGGTTGAAGCGGTATTCAGTGCCCTATGACAAGAAATATTAATGTGAGGCTGAAGGATCGAATACAGTTTTCACGCACACAAAAATGACAGGATGAACTTACTACAATGTTTATCTGTTGCAATCAAATGTAGTTTTACAAAAGCTTTTGCTACTCACGGGTTCGGTGTTGTGGATGAACAGCACGTCATAGTACTCCCTCTCCAGAAGAAGGTTGACTTCCTCGATGATGCGGATGCGCCTGTTGGTGGCATCGTAGGAAATCTTCGCACGCTCGGAGAAGCGCTTTTCTGGATCAATCTATCAGGCAAAGTACGTTAACGTATCTTAGAAATTAATAGTTAACAAGGTACACGTGAATGCACAATCATTCTGAACCATTAAAAACAGCAATTGTTGAACCCTTTACTTCATCTTGGACGTACCCTATTGTGACGTTAGATTTGGAATGTTTGCAGACGTTTACTTTTAGTATATATCATGGTAGATTGAATTGAAGGACAGATAGGCTGGGATTGAAGGCGCTATCTAAGACATCATGTATTACAATCAGGTCTCAACAAATATACGCTGCATGTTTGTACAACATGCAGATGCATGGGCTTTGCTTGTCACACGTGCCAAAGTTCGAGGTCTTTTTATGGCTTTAGATAAGCATTGGTAGTCACGAGATTAAAACTACTGTTACATCTGTGATAGGTAAGGCTACAAAAGAACCAAACTGAGCACAGTCTGAATATTTTACGACGACGTTTCTAATCGATAAAATCACCTGATCTTTACCATTGAGCCAACCTACATGTACCTGTACAGATCAATTATTGATATCGTGGAGTAGTAAGATGATCCTGACGCTGTGGTTTGAAAACAGAGCCGTGTTGTATCACAGATAAATGTAACCGCTGACTCACCCTGGAGATTCTGGCCTCCCAGAGAGATGGTGGCGCTGTGTATGGTAAAACATCATGTGTTAGTCATATTCTGTCATCTAACGTTACTGCAACAGTTTGATGCATTTCTGTTGCATCTCATAAAAATATATCTTATAACTCTTGAGCGCTTCGTGTAAAACATTGATGACGAATTGAACGACTTACAGCATGGCTCCGGCTTTTGGCTGTAGGCCACAGCCACGCAGACGGCGAAGAAAAGTACAAGAGTCTTCATTTTGCGAGCTCGAGGTCCTCAGTAGAGCCTGACGCGTGTCTCTAAGTAGGAACTGGGTCTAGAATGAAAACGGTCACGAGGGTTGTGCTGATGGTGGGGTCCGTATATCTGGTGGTCAAGCTGCGATATTTGCGTTGCCATTAGAAGTGGCCAATGGCAGAATTGGTTATCTTCGTTATAAAACACGCAGTTTGTATGATTAGCCTATTTGTGACATGAAGTCATGATAAAGGTCACTATTCATTCCTAAACTAAAGAATCAGGCGGTCCTTGACCTCCAACGCACAGATACTTGAGACATTTCACACCAGAGTATTAAACTCAGCACCAGAAAAGTTTTAATACAACTCAATTCAGTTACCGGTTGCCATCACTGCAGTAAGATGACAATACAATATATTTGCCAATACTGAGGCCAGCGGCGAGAGAACGACAACCGTATACAGAGACGTGTTACATGAAATCAGAATAAACGCTTACAGGACAAACTGTACCAAACGTACAAACTCTCGTTATCGTTAAGGTCTTGCAACCTAAGTACAAATTACAAGAATACACGCCATGTTGTACGACTTTCTTCTGAAAGCTTTTATTGCAAATTTATTCTGTATTTTAATTGCGAAGCCTGCGCGACTTCAGTTCCAGGTGACACCGGCAGTAACTACATGCATTCTCTGGGTGGGATGAACACGTTAGGGTCGGAGATACCGCCTGTCACGTCAAAGAAGCTGCAAAAAAAAAAAGAGCTCATAAGTTCAACATTTATTCCTTCAACATTTTCACATTCATTGCACATGTACTAGGTTATCGCTGTAGTAAGGATATGTTTCACTTCTTACTGGAGAATGTATAACACCTGGCCCTGACTCCCCAGTAGCCTGTCCAAGGGATTGTTAATCATCGGTAAGTCCTACCTGTTAATAATCAAACAATTCACATGTGATTATATTGCCTACGTTGTCGACATAAACAAACATTTACCAGCTAATTCTAACGCCCTCTCCCATTCCTCACCATATTGAATCTGGATAGCTGACGATTGGATACCAAAACGGGCCTTTATTCTTCAGTAACTTTTACATTCAAACTGTGGAACAGCAACAGGTCAGTTCGGTCTGATGTGAACAGCCTATAATCTAAGAGACCCTCGCTTCCCTCTGAGTCTAGATCCAGCACTAGCAACATGATAACAGCAGAACAGGCCGTCGACACAGCTACATAGGATATAATGGCACCCGGTGATGGCTCTCTATTTGTTATACTTGTATGAGCAGTGTGCACACTTATAAATTAAAACCTCGCATAGCCACAGTGTTCATCAGTACTTACAATGTGGAGACGAGGCCAGTGCGGTTGCTGTAGAATTCCTCTTGGATAGGGAGGCATCCCACGACGGTGTAAACACCGAAGTACTTGTCTAGTTGTCAAAAACAAAGAAAATGCATATGACCGGTTATGTATGGTTTATTACACAGACTCCGAAGCTAGGCAATCAATCATTCTATTCTCAAAACTGCCCAGAAGATCTTTCCGGTCCCAATTTGCATGATACAATCAAACTGACAGGAGATGGAAATCACGATCAAGGTAGAAACGTGTTGACAAATAATAAATCTAACCTCCGCTCTCAAACGTATTTGACCAGAGCTCCGTCAGGACGCCTGCGCCGGGTACCGCGCCGGTCCCGATGTAACCCTCGCCCAGGAAGGTGGAGTTGGGAGGGACTTGGAAGTTACGCCAAGGCTCGGAAAGCTCCCTCTTCTCACACTCCTTCGTCTTCAGGTTAAGACGGTACTCGGTGCCCTGTAAGGAAATATCAAAGTCAAGATTAAGAAATCACGTCTGACACCCATGGAACGGCATGATCACCTTAGCTGCTGATAATCATTTTAATGTGAAAGTTGGACCTGAAATGTTTAGGAGATGTACATTAAGGCCATGCTTTGAGTGTACAATACAATTATTACCTTGATAACAATGACCAAGGATGGTTACTATATAATGTCATTGCAATGACCTTTGTCCGTTATAAAAAGATATTCCAAGTGGACTACTCGAGGACTGGTTGTGCTGTTGTTGGAGCACTTACAGGTTCGGTGTTGTGAATGTACAGCACGTCGTAGAAGTCCCTCTGCTCAAGAAGGTTCACCTCCTCGATCCTGCGGACACGCCGGTTGGTGGCATCGTAGGACATCCGGGCGCGCTCGGAGAACCGCTTCTCTGGGTCAATCTGTTCATGTTGATTTTACATGTGACAAAACACAGAAAGTTATGAAGTATTTAATGAAACACAGTTAAGTAAGGCCTTGCAAGGGGTCAGTCGATGACCAGCTAACTTCTATGGTAAATTACTAATTCTGAATGCTGGGCAAGTTTTTGTAGCTACACAATAAATCTACTAGAGATTACTGTACAATAGCCACTTGGTTTTGTTTGCTGTAACGCTGTATGCCAAAGGTCGACATCTTAAAATGACATCATTGCATAAGCTATTGCAGTCACGAGTTGTACGAGTCAGCACTGCATGTCAGCATAAAACCAACTTCTGCAGTCACATTAGGATGAGGTCATCTGATTATGGAAAGAATATTACTAGTCTGTACGTGACTATCAAAATAACGAAATAAACACCTATCAGACTGGATCAACCTTGATACCCCGGAGCGATAGAGTACGTGCTTGTATGACTGAGACAGAGCCACTTGTTAACTAACGTGATAGCTAAAGAATACTGCCCAGGCTGGCTTACCCTTGAGACTCGGGCCTCCCAGAGGGGCGGTGGCGCTGTGCATGGAAAAACAACATCGTACGTTAATAAACTTTAAGTAAGAGATATGTGAATGTCTGCAGATTCTCGCGAAACATTTTCCACGCAGCAATCGTGCAGTATGGCACGTACCGTATAGAACTTTAC